GAATTGCAGTTCCAACTATTGCCAATAGATGGCACTCCCAAACAATTTGATTTAATTGCTAATCATTACTTAACTGAGAAATTATGAAACGTATTTCAAAATTCTTTTTAATACTTTGTGTAACATTATCAGAATTTATATTGTTTTACACTTTTTGTTTTTTGCAACATTTATTTTCTTGATATGTTTTTTAAAATTAATTTCTTTCTTTTTTAACCTTGTGGGAAGTAGAATTTTCTCTCTTATTATTTTGTGTTATTTTATTATACTATATACATATTTACATGTGCTCCACTTATATTCTTTAGAAAATTTAAATGATTTTCAAATTAAAAAAGTTAATTTGTAATCTTAACAATTATTATTTGTATGCTATTAATTTCAAGTTTGCTTGTTATTAATCTACTTACTATTTCTAAGAAAATAAATAGATGGCAGCATGAGCAAAATATGTTCCCACTAGAAGAAATGATTAAAATTCTCCAGCAGATGTCATTTCGAGAGGGAAAAAATATTGATTAATGTTTTTAATTTCTCCTCTATCTCGACACTTGCTTGGTCATTTTGTCACCATAATTCTAAAAAAAATTTCCATAAATGTCCAAAATTTGGAGGAATATTTTTTAATGTCATTTTTTTTTCTGATGGCAATGGCCATTTATTTTTTTTTTTTTTTTTATCAAAGCACTTTGTTAGATAATTTTTATCTTATATAAATTTAAATTATGCATTATCCAACAAATAAACTTTTCGTTTGTTTTTAAAATAGGTTATGTAAAATATTGAAATACTCATCACAGAAACAAGTTTTATGTTTAATAATATGGGGACTTTGGTTTTACATCTGAGTACTTTTGCAACATTTGATTATTATCAGAATACTTGTTGAATACAGATGTATTAAAACAAATTTACTTTGCTAGAGAATAAAGTAAATGTGTGACTATTAGGGGGAATCATAGTTACAAGGAGAAAAAGAATATTCTTATTAATCGGAACATACCTATGAGGAAAAGATGTTCTATGGTATTGATATTAGGAGAAAAATAATTATATAAAAAAAAATAATTTCGAAATTAAATATAACCACAAAGTGGTTAAACTTAAAAAATGAGAAAAAAAACTTAATTTTGGTTTGATGATTTCAGATTGAAAATAAAAATATGTTTCTACGATATAAATACCTACATCGATTACCATTCATAAATGAGTACTAAGTAATGAATAGTACAATGTACAGGTGGTAAAAAAATAATGGAAGCACATATGAATAAAATGTATTTTGCAGCGCGCTTCGTAAGTATTAAAATATAATGATGGCTACCAGTTATTTTTATACATAGAAATGTATATATTCTGGTAGTATGGGGTGGCTTTTTATGAAGTTTTGTAATTTTTGTATCTTTTCTAAAAGCGTAAAGTACTGGACCTCTCAGATTTTCAAAAATGTCAAATTGTAGGAGCCTATCTAGTTGGAGCAAGTGTGACTGAAACATCCCAACTTTTATGGAATTTTAGAGGTACGGTGTCTAAAATCATGGTAGCAATAACACAGCACGGCAAGACAGGCTCGGTAAAGCAAAATAGTGGACGGAAAGAGAAGCTCAGCGAAAGAGTCTGTAGAATTGTAATGTCTAAAACGAGAACAACTGCAGCAAAAGTGACCACAGAGCTCAATCAGCATCTGGATTCTCCAGTGTCAATGATTATAGTTAGAAGAAACCTTCATAAACAGAACGTTTGTGGCAGATCAGCGATTCCCAAGTCATTTTTCATAGATGTTAATGCCAAACGTCGTCTACAGTGGTGTCACACTCACAAAACCTGGTCAATTGATAAGTGGAAGAAAGTAATATGGTCTAATGAATATCAGCTTTCACACTTTTCCCTTCAACAGGACGGGCGCTCGTTTAGAGAACACCTGCACAAGTGGTGATCGTGATTGTCTTCTTCCAACTGTCAAGCATGGAGGAGGATCAGTGACGATATTGACAGCCGTGTAGTGGTTTTCTGCTGGACCAATCATAACTTTTCAAGAACGGAACACTGAGGATTTGTTCAGAGAAATGTTAACTGACCCCGTCTATCCAAAAATGGAAACTTAGTTTCCTGCAGGAGATGGAATTTTTCATGATGATAATGCACCTATATCCATGCGGAGGGACTTGTCCAATCATGGTTTAATAAACACGAGGAAGAAGTAAAGCCAGTGGCGTAACAAAGAATATTTTCCCCCTCCCCTGCAAAGTCAGGTTTTGGGCTGCCAAGATGGATTTTACAAAGGGTTTGTACTTGGGGGCAGTCAGGCTTTGGGCCCCCTAGAACCCTTCCCCCTGCAATGCGGGAGTGTAGGTTACGCCCCTGAGTGAAACATCTACCTTGGCTCACACAGTCACCCGACCTCAATATTATTGAACAATCATGGAGTATTTTCGGGCATTCTATACAGAATCAATAGCCACCATTGACATCCTCTCCTAAGACTTTAACAATATGTCCATGAAAAATGGTACAATATTCCTCTAAACACTCTTCAATAGTCGTGTGAATCAATTCCTAGGCTAATCTAAGCTGCATTACATGTCAAAGGCGGTCCTACACCATAATTATAAAGGATTCTTTATAAATCTAAGGTGTTTCTGTTATTTTGATAACCACCTGTATATTGCAGCATTTCATCATCCGCTTTCTTTCTTCTGGGATCGTCGAATCAGTTTGACCCAAGCTTTGCCCCTTCTATTGCTTGATCGTGCACTGTAATTTCGACAGCAGGATTTTTTTAAAAATTTTTTTCTGAGAAACCTGTTAAATATGCTCGTTTTTTTTGTTAACTTTTAGTAGGTGTCCTTTCATTGCAATAAATGTTAAAAAGTACTAAAATGCTCTTTATCTTTAAAATTACTTTGACTTTTTACCCAAAAGAAAGCTCAAATATTTGAACTTCATTCTCTTTGAGACAGTGCTTAATATGAGGATTAATTTTTTAGTTTTATTTTTCCATTTCATACCAGAGAAATTTTTTCCCCATAAGTAGGTTTTGAAATTCAGTTTTAAAAATTTTGATCCACCCTAATTATTTTCCTAACATTTTATTTTCCACTCTCAATGCATTAAATACTTTGGGTGAAAACTCAATTTAAATTGGACAGAAGCTCAATTCTTAAGATTCTTAATATTTCTTTTCGACCAGATTAATTTGTATTCGAAAGTTTAGAAAGCAAATATTTTGCAGTTTCCTTGCATCATAATCATAACTTATGACGAACTTTACGAAGCAACAACATCAGCTTCTCAAACGGAGAACTTCCAAGCTCTGAAAAAAAAATTCAGACTAAGAAAATAATCACGAAGTGTGAGTGATGAAAACCATGTTATGCTGACGGAAAAAGAAATTCCTTGGGCTCTTCATGAAAGAAAATAAATATATGAAAGTAAGATTATGATGATAATGAGGAAATGGAGATTCATGTGAAATGAAAAACAGCCATGGTATATTAAATCGATGGTTCTCAAATCTCTGTATGTGTATTTCAGAAGTAAGCCGATGATTAGAAGTTAATATTGGAACACTTCTGAAATAATAATAATAATTTTCTATCATAAGAAATTGAAAGAGAATTCCTCCACTATCACACACACAAACTGTACTTTTAAAACAATGTCAACAACGCTTGCATTTCAATTCAGCAAACTATAGAGCTTCCAATGATATGGCGCACTTATACGGAGGACAGAACCCATGACCTTCGGATCTGAAACTGAGTAACTGAGCTGGTTTTGAATCCAAAAATACCGGGTTCTGTCTTGCCGGAAAAGCGCGCCAGTTCATTGGTGACACTGGCTGAACTCAGAAAAGATCACCTTCTGAACTGTCGTGGCGCCATCTAACAGCAAAAAGAGCAATCAGAAACTCATCAGACTTACTTGATGCAGTTAACTCACTAGACTCACTTGGTACAACAACAACAACAACAAAAAACTCGCCAGACTCACCTTGTGCAGAAAAAAAATCCATACGCGTCAGACTCACTTGACACAGCTAAGTCGTCAGACTCACTAGACGCAATCCCTGTAAAAACTGCTCACGCAACACACTTGCCATAACAACTATATCGTTCGATTGCCTATCCACCGACTCACTCGTGGGGGAGTGTGTAGCGGTACCACCTATATAAGCCAATAACATCCTCCGTACTAGGGTGATCATTTTGGTATAGTGGCTAAGCTACTCGGTATCGGATCTAAAGGTCCCAGGTTCTGTCCTCCGGATAAGGGCGCCATTCAAAAAGTTGGATTCAGGTTTTCATATAAGTAAAATAATTAAACATGTGAAACTTTCTAGTAATACATGCGTAATTATCCCCCTCCCCTCCCGTGGCACACCTCATGGTTACTAATATCAGACAGAAATTAAGAACTCCGTATTAAGAGACATTTTAATAAAATCAAACACTATTATTACGATCGTCAAAATTACACTTCAGCGAAAAGAGCTGTTAGTTTAATTACTAACTTAAATATCTATAATAGATGTTTCATTTCTTTTGTCCCTCACACAGACTAATAACAGACCTCACACAGACGTCCTAAATTTTTATGTACTGTCCTTTTACTTGAATCAAGGTACCTTCACCGATTATAACCCTATAGCAGTGGTTTTCAAATTTTATGAAATCACAGAACCCCTAAACGATGTTTTAGTGGGATCCTATCACAACACGCAAATAAACGCTGTGCTTTAAATCTTTGAAACGTCCCGCCGAAGGTGTGGTGCGGATGTTTGGATAGGGTTGTTAGTTCAGGTTTAGGAGAAAACCTCGTCACTTGACCATGTTTCGTTATTACTAGGTCCTTTGTTGATAGACCTCGTGCAATTTTATAGTGAGACGATAAATTAACTCATCCTCACTCACCCGCCAACACTTTTAATTGATCTGGTTATTGTACATTCTTGTTCAAGTGTTAAGGCGAACTTGTATGCTATAAAATCAGTGATGTGCGGGGACGTAGTTCAGATGGCAAAGCGCTCGCTTAGCAAGCGAAAGGTACGGGGATTGATATCCCTCGTTTCCATTAACGTTCAATTCTCAATAAAATATATATTGAATTTATATCTGTTTGAGATTGTCTATCTATATATATATATAAATTTGCATACAGCTTTCCTTTTTGTAAGCTCCTCGGTGGCAAGTATCTTAGAATTTTGTGTTTGTAATGAATAGTCAGATTCAAGTCCGTCCATCGAACCATTTCTATTTCATTGAAATATTCTGCGGCATTTACTCTCGATTCTAGTCTCACGCGACACTTTCAATTGACCTAGTTATTATACGATCAAGTTCAAGCGTTATCTCGAGCCTGTTTACAATCATCAAGATGTTGTCCGGGGGCGTAGCTCAGATGGTAGAGCGCTCGCTTAGCATGCGAGAGGTACGGGGATCGATACCCCGCGCCTCCATTTAACGTTTCCCCCCCCAACATTTTTTTATACATATTTTAATGAAATTGGCTTTATCGGTATCATAATGGTATACTTTCATTTGGTATATCGTTTTCTATATTTTTTCTGGTGAGTAAATAAATTGTTGCCATCAGTGGGATTTTTAGGCGGAAACAGTCATGAATAGTTGTGATAAAAAATGCAGCATCTCACAGTACAAAAGTAGTCTAGAAAAGCTTTCAAGTCGGTATTGTGAAAAGGATGAAGTAAACAGGACAGTGTTAGGATCCGAAAGCGATTCAAAACTTATGAAAAAGAGCTTCTTATGATATTTCGAAGAAAATTTTGCAAAAAGATGAGAGTTACTGCAGCAATCTTTTTGTGACGAAATGACTTCTCGTGAAATGGGCGTATTCCTTGCAAAACTGACCTGGGGTCGTTTTTACAGCACTGGCGTAGCTAGTCCTGCATGAGCCCTGTATCAAAATACCTTTTGGGGCTCTTTTTGGGGCCCCTTATAAATTTTACAATGTTTTCTCAAACATTTTGAGGTTCCTGCAGCTTGGGGACCCCGTATCATTGATAGGGCGTAGCTACACCCCTGTATTACAGTAAACGTCTGGTCAATACAGCTCTGATTTTCGAACATGAAAAACCCAGCAATTTTATAAACACATATTAAAAGTACTGTATTTGTAAATTTTTGAATTATTCTACAGTGTATATTTTGATATGCCACTCTGTGTTGCTGGGTGTACCATGTGCAATCTTCTTTTGAGGAAACTGTACTGGAAAAAATACTTTCAGCATTAAAATACAAACTACAGTTTTCAAATTAGCATGAAAATATACAGTAAAATCAACACCCACATGGTAAGGGAAATTCGAAGGTTTAATTACGAAGAACTAAATCACACATAAGAATTCCGCGAACAAATGAGAGTGTTCAGGGTCCGCCCCTGTAGTTCTATTTCTGTAAAACATTCTATGGCATCTATTCTCTTGATTCTAGTATCTCACCCAAAACTTTAAATCTCCCCATTTACAGAGTTATCTTGGTTGAGTGTTAAAGTGAGCTGGCTTACAATAAACGAGGTTGTGTCTGGGGGCGTACATCAGATGGAAAAGGGTTTGCTTAGCGTGCGAGAAGTATGGGGATCGATTACCCGCGCCTCCTTTTAGCGTTTTCTCGACTAAATTATAGTTCGAATTAATATCTTTGTGAGAATGGCTTAATTTGGATATTTCATGTTTGTAAAAATCTTATAACTTTTTTTTTGTTCTGATGAAATTTATTCTCAACTGGGATCCATTACTCTGCATTATTTTTCGAAGAAGCTTTCTATGGCACGCATTCACTTGCCTCTGGACTCTCCTGCAACACGTTTAGTGCCTCTGAAAATACGTCGTCTAGAGGCGCTCTGCGTCTAGAGGCGTTAAATATTTCCAGGCTCAAATGTCCTCCCGTTGGTGTGGTATGGATGTTAAGAGAGAAGGGTACCATGTTCAGGTGACGCCCTCGTCGCTTGACCCCCATGGGGGCTTATCTTCTTTATGTGAGAAAGGGTTTCACAATCCCGAGTTGCCAATGTGAACTTTTCCCAGGGGGCTTACTGTCTTTTATAAACACGGGTGTCACGACCCCGATGTACCCTAGTGATCCCTCCCTATTTTCAACCCTCCTTTTTGTCATCCAATTTCTCTTCCTATTTTTCCCTTTTTCCTCTCAGGGGCTCATCTTTGGGTAAGTACGGGTGCCACGTCCCCAAGCATTTGACAAGAAAGAAAATCCCCCAAAATATCTGTTTATTTAGAGTTTCTGTTACAGGTCAAAGTTTAACATTATTTTTAGTTCAATTAGGGGTTGCTTTGTAGTTTCTTTTATTTGAGTGTTTTAAGTTTAATTATTTTCAAGGTTTTTAGTTAAGGTAATTAAAAAAAGAATATTTTGTTTTATTTTGCCAATGTCTAGCCTGGTTTTTGAGTCTGAACCACATGTTTGCCATGTGCGGTGACCCCTACTAGGGGAAAGTGGTGTCTGTTGTTCTGTTGCGTGTCCTTTGACCCATGCTTCTCCATAGACGGAAGGCAGGAGTGAGCCTGCCTTTGTCTATCGGCTGGTGATTAGTTCTGGGGGCGTTCTAATTCGGAATCTGTTGGAATCCCAATGATGGTTGCTTTAGGATTAGTATTGAACCCCCCTCCCAGATTGTTAAGGTGCCCTGGATGAACTAGAGGATCACATACCGAACCTCTAATACTATACTCCAGTGCCACATCTCGGAAATAAGAACCGTGCCTGACGCTTGTCAGATGACCGGTGGTCTATCTCCCCTTGTTGAGTTCCGTGGGGAATGGAGGCGTACTGGAGTGAACAGCAAAACACTCTCAAGGAACCCAAGGTTAATTCTCTCTCAATGGAGGAGCTTGTGTGTGTGTGTGTGTGATTGAATTCTCAGACTCGTTTAGATTTTTTATAATGAAAACTCCTAGTACTCAAATGCCTCACCACTCAAATGTCATCTGGTACAAATGTTTCACCCTGTCTACTTGAGATAGCTGTATCTAGCAGTATAGGGCCAGTCAAGCCGATCCGTAAGATGCACTCCGACGACTTGTTCGTCGAAGTGTCACAGTCGAATCAGGTGAACGCGCTAATAAAACAGCAGAAGCTGGCTCACTTAGATATTACCTTTGCTCCTCACAGTAATCTGAATTTTTCGCTTGGGGTACTTTCGCCTGCGGATTTTCTTTACGTGTAGACTGAGGAAATACTGGAAAATATGAAGGCAAGAGGCGCATAATGATAAGGCGGGATGGTCAGCTGCTGAATGCAAAACACCTCATCCTGACCTTTTCGACACCTCACCAACTACAGTCCGTAAAAATGGCACACATCCACTGCCCAGTTCAAACGTACATCCCAAATGCGCTGCGCTACTTTCAATGCCAGCAATACGGGCACTCGAAAAATGTCTGTCGGGGCCAGACTGCCTGCCCTCGTTGCTCGGAAATAGGCCACGTCAGTGTGGATTGTACTAAGAAGGAACAATGCGTGAATAGTAAGGGAGAGCATCCATCTTATTCACGCTCCTGCCCTGACTGGTTAAAGGAGAAAGAAATAACAGCTGTAAAAACATTTCTTACTCAGAAGCTCGGCGTATTCTTTTTCAGGCACGTCAGTCTGTGGTGTGAGTTACGCTAGTGCTGTAAAAAAGACATTTAAAAATAATTCTGCACAGACTAAAGAGGATGACATCCAATCTTCAGCTTCTCCAATATCGAAAAAAAATCAAAGACGATTGCTAAATAAACTAGCAATTTACCAACTCAAACAAAAAAGTTATTTGTTTGGGCAGAGAGCAATTCGCCCAAGTGCTAGTCTTTGGGAACTAAATCCGACAATCACAAGGATCTCGAAGAAATCGAAAGATTTCCCACCAATAATAGAGCTACATCTGATGAACTTGTATTAATTAGATGACAATTATGCTCTAATGGATATTCAATCAGGCCCTTCGACATATAGCTCCGGAAACGGAGTGAGTGTGACCTAATAATGGCCTCTTTTGTTTTCTGGAACTACCGTGGTTTCAGGATTCGACTCGATGATCTCAAATCCATTCCATTCACGTACCAGCTCGTATGCGTTGTTCTTCAGGAGACTTTCCTGAAGAGTACCATAACAATGCGAGTGTGTGGTTACAATAGTGTACGACGGGATGCAGATGGTGACTGGTTAAGTCACCATGGTGATGGTGATGTCTCATCTCTATTCCAGAAATGTCGTCTCACTGCACACATCATTACAGGCTATGGCTATACAGATTCACATTCATTCTTTAGCCACAGTCTGTTGTATTTATTTACCACCCCCAATGAAGTTGTACCACAAGCGGATTCGAATAAGTTAATCGGTCAATTGTGAGCTCTATTTATATTGCACAGTAACTTTAATGGGCAAAGCCCTCTGGGGGGGGGGGCATGATGATAATAACTCTCTTGGATCACAGATAGAACAGTTGATATCTGCTCACTGTCACTTTCTGCTCAATAATTATAAGAAAACATATTTCCATGCGGCCACAAGGACATTTTATTTCCTTGATCAACCCATCTGAACGTCAAATCTGCAACCGTTGTTGCGTTTTGAGGTTGAAAAAGATCGACATGACAGTGCTCCTTTCCTTCTCCTAATATCGTATGATGATGGTATATCGGCACGACTTCGTCCTACTACTTTGAATTTTTATCGCACAGACTGGGTTAAATTCATACGGCTAGCAACTATAACCTGCGCAATAGTTTAGAACAGGGCAGCTGATAAGGGCGTTTTTAACCTCACTCACGATGCTAGAAAGGCTTCCGATGCAGCAATACCAAAAACTTTCAATTCTACTCGGAAGATGTGCAAACCATGGAGCAATTCTGTCTGCCAACAAGCAAAAAAGGAACAAAAAGGAGCTTGGGGGTATATTCAGGAGATACCCCATAACAGAAAATCTCTTTGAGTTTAAAAGTACCAAATTGTTAGCTCGTAGAATGCGACGTCGATGTCAGAGATAATCTTTGATCCAGTATGTCTACGCCATCACATCGTCTACAAGTCAACAGCTATGGAGAAAGTTAATAG